ACCCTTCACAGCGGCACATACCTATATAGCCCATATATGGCAGTGCCCTTCCCTCCCCCCCGGGTTTCTACCACACGAACCATTAGTACATGACTTGATAGTATGTTAATTGGTAACAGTTTACAAATTGTTGCAAGGGCCACAATTAATTCCCTTATCTCTCTGATCAAAGAGAACAATCGAACTAAAGTGTGCAATGAATCAGATTGTTTGAAAAAATTCTCCGTGCCTCGATATCCACACGAAGTAAAATATCATTTCCTACGTCTGGCCTTTTAGCTCAAAAAAGCCTTTTGCTTGCGTTAGGTCTTCTGATTTCCATTCCAGTTTTATTTCAAGTGAAATATCGTTTTTAAAAACATCAGTAAAACGCGATTGAAATACGTATGGAGGGAGATAGTTTCTCTCATATGGAAAATTTCGTTTCAGATGTTTTTAAGCCGTAATGTTGACATTTCTTTCATGTTTATGCGAGGCGGTGTCCGTAACCTGTGACCAAAGATAAGATTCGTCAGACAACAAAGAAGTAATGTCAATTGTTTGGTCACGTGGCAATGGGTAAATCTAAATCTCGCCCTAAGGTCCCCTAACAAAAGGTTACTTTGACTTCTTCTTGCCTTATTGCTTCACACTAAACTCTAGCTCTATATTATCCCATTTCGGAAAAGACGGAGATTCTCGGGAAAACAAAACTGGCAGTTTCCCTGTGTCAGCTTTCAACCTTTTCGTCAAGTAGCACACTCGACTCAAATCAACAAAACGCTTGACCGATTTGGAATGAACAATTCATGATAATTAATTTTTAGAGGATCGTATTTCAACGCTGTTAAGGTTATTTTAAAATGAGTTCATCTCATGCCTGGCGTTGTTCGTCTAGCTATGTTCTTGTAATAAAAAAAAAGTTGTTTAAACAATTCAGTGCATTGGACTGTTTCATTGCTGAGTTTATTCCATTTTATTACGTTTTGTCAAATACTTGACATGAAATTTACTTCGATTGATCTTATCTGATCTTGCGTAATTTACGACAAAACCATAGCTTCATTTACAAACAAATGTGTTTTTCCGGACGTTTTTATGTTAAGATTACTATCAAAACGCGAGATAACAGCTTTGAAAACTGTTCAGCCTAACAGTTTTTCAAAACCCATATCACAATCCGTTTCACTCTTCTTCAATTTTTGTCCATCCGTTACCTTCTTTTGTATTTTTTTGTTGTTAAAATGTTCCTTCACTATTTTAATTTGTTATTGTATATTTCACTCAGTTCGGTGGCCGTTTTCTCGTGTCAGAATTTGGTTAAATTCCGTGACACACTCTTTAAGGGTCATCCCGTATCCCGCAACCGTCCCGCCATCCCGCCCAAGTCAGAATATGTATCTCGATCCCGCTTCGTTAGAGTCTCAGTTCTCTGCGTAATCATGTCTGT